AAATGCATTTAAGAATTAAGACATTTAAATTTTGCTTCTCATTCAACCCAAGACTTGCACTAAGACTACTGGCAAAAACTACTGGTAATGGTTTAAAATGTTCATCAGCAGGCAACAAAACAGACTAGACACGTTCTAATCAGACAGTATTGTGTGAATTAAATATAGAATTTTTAGAAGATAGCCTTATAAACTAATGAGGGGACATGGAACAATTTAAAAACTGAGAATAAATGAACAGTTTGGGGGAAAATATCTAGTTATAGAACATTATGCATTCTAACAATACTGTTTGGTTTAAAGAGTAATTATTTTAAGGAAAAACATTTTTAAAAAAACAAGAAAATACTGCTGAATATTTAATAGATTTCTAAGTGGGAAAATATTTAAGTGTGAAAACAATGGAAGAAATCACAAAGGAAAAACATACATTTCTATGGATCAAATTTTGAAATTCTTGGATAGCAGATAGACATAAAAACATCTATTTGCTCAACACCTCTGCATTAGGAACCTGCTATGTAGGCATAATTCTAGGTCTTCAGGATGTGTGTATAAACAAAGCAGACAAAAGTCCTGCGTTCCCACTATCAGAGAGCTTACATTTTAGTAGATAGAAACTGACACCAAAACTGGGTTAGGTGGTGCCTGCTTGTATTCCCAGCACCGAGGGAAGAAGATTGCTTGAGCCTAGGAGTTCAAGGCCAGCCTTGGTAACAGGGAGATCCTTGCCTCAATGAGAGGTCAGGGTAGCCCCAGGGATTTAGCTCAGTGGTGCCACCACCTGCCTTGCAAGTGCAAGATCCTGAGTTGGAAGGTGGGGGGCAGGGGAGAAGGGGGTCGATGGAGAGAAAGATAAAGATATATAGAGAGTTTATATGTGAAAAGATAAGTCTTTATGGGAAAAACAAAGGTAAAGTCGGGCAAAGAGAGGCATCGAGCCTGAAAAGATCTTGTGGGTTTGATGTGAGATGGAAGTGTTAAATAGTGGAGTCAGGTAGACCTCAGGAAGAAGGTGCAATCTGAATCAAGGCTTGCACGAGGTGGGAGAGTAACCAGTGGTTTCTTGGAGGACATGCGAGAGCGCTCCAGGCAGAGAGAACAGCTGTCTATTAACACAGCAAACACAAAAATTGGAAAACATATTGGCAATGAATGAGACTGGAAAGATATTATATCTTTAGCAGAGAAAAAAAAAAAAGAGGCGAAAGTCAGTTACCGTTTTACTTTCACTATCATTCTCATGAATAACCGAAATTTGACTACACACATGTTGTACACCTTAGGGAAGGAAGGAAGGAAGAAAAAAAGAAAAAGAAGGAGAGAAAGAAAGAGGAAAACAGAAAATTCATGTATGCTTCTAGGAGAATCACTTGCCCAAAGTCCTTGGAATGAAGACATAAAATTTTGGTATTTTCTGTTCAGGTAAGTTGTCTTTTAGTGATTTGAAATAAGTCCTTTGAATGGAACCGCAGAAAAGCAAATTTTGCTCAAATTCCTACATTATATAATTGCATTTCTTTTCTCATGAACCTTAAACTAAAGTTGTAAGAGAAGAATCTTTTGTTAAATTAAATTTGGTTTGATTAGGAGATTTTTATTTCACGCAAGCAAAGCACAATATGTGTGGGTTAAAAAATGTCCTGGCTATTGAAAAAAAATTTTAAAAGATGATTCAGTTTTTCCATAGCTTCATTAATGAATTAAATTTGTGTGGGAGGTGAACTAGGCTGTGGCCCTTGTTTGGGAAATCACCCAAGGAGTGCGCAGTTTGTTTTTAAGAGAAGTAATACAAACTCAAAGGCTGGAACATATGAGTATCTTCAAATCCTTTCTTCCCGGGCTCTACATGACCCTTTCTTGCCATTTCCTAACACTGTCATCATTTCCTTTTCAAAAATATTTCCCTTGTTTTACTCAGCCCCAGTTTTCTCAACAGGTTCTACAAAGCAGAGTTGGTCCCATCTTATCTGCCCTGGCCTATCTCTTTAGCAGTATTTCAACCAAACTAATTATCTTTTGTTTCATGGCCTGACTTCTAAAACAAACAAATGGAAAATTTAAATAGGTTGGTTCACAGCATTTCAGGGAGAGGAAAGTGCTCGTTAGAGGGTCAGATACCTTAGGGCAAGGATTTAGGTTGAGGGCAATTACTTGATAATACTTGACGCCTTCCAGAAGCAGAAAGACTGACTACAGGAGCAGCTTGTTTTTTAAGTATCACTGCAGGCCTTTTTTTCAACCTTAGTCACCAGAGCTTCTGCTCTGCTAAGATATATGTGAGGAATCTTGCATTTTATAGGTCACTGAAAAAAAGCATTTAGATGTACAGGAACAAAGGACTAGAAAGTTATGAAGAATTTCCTGAAAATTATTAATAGTACATATCAAAGGAATGCATGACACAAATGATATTCATGTCTGTGAAATAGAGATTATTGAAAAATGACAACCCCAGATTAAAGAACAGAATTTTCCAGGACCCCACTGGGACAGGGTCTTACCACGGCATCCTTTCTGGCAAATGGTCCACATGGATTTGGGTGGGACCATTTCCATACTCAGCACTTGCTGCAGTCGCAGAGGTTATTTTAATATTTCCCTCTTCTTCATCACATTCCTGATTAGGTCAACATTCTGGAATGGGGTTCAGGAGGGACTTTCCCACTGGGGGAGCTCGCTCGACCATTTAAACTGTTAGGCTGAGTATGGATCAGTGTGGTCCTACAGAGTAGCCTTGAAGGTGCCATGCTTGGACCCTGGTCCATTTTCACAGTTTAGAAGGCAGAAGCCAGTGTGCTTAAAGCAGTATCAGTACACATCATCTGGCTGATTAAGGAGGTCCATACACCAGACAGGGAAGATTGTATGTATGTTTATTATACATTTTTCACTTGGGGAACCCTTTGTATCTATGGAATCTGATAGAGAAGGTGAATATCTAATCGGATTAAAAGATAACATGTAGGGTTGGGTGACCCCACCCACCAACATCCCTCCCAGCAGAGGCTTTTAAGGGGCTTCTCCCGGCCCTAAAACTCAGAGGACCTGATCTGGAAACTGATGCCTCTTAAGGCTCCCGACACTAGCGGCTATATGTGGGAGGGTGATAATGCTTGGCCTCTGTGGCCGGTGGAATCAAGTACCTCACTCAAGAGTTGGACTCTCCAAACCACACATCTGAACCACTATATGGGCTGGAAAATGCCAAAGGTTAGTCAGCAGCTCCATTGCATGGAATTCTGGGATTTTGTTTTGTTTTATTTTGTTTTGGTGATTATTGAGCAAAGAAACTATTGGAAAAACACGGTCTTTGATCTTCAGAAAATGTATGTCATGACCTTAGACCTGACTCAGTACACTTCCCACATAGCAAATTCAAATATCTAGTGACAGTGTTTTCATTAATTAAATACTACCTATTTTTTTTTGCTTTACTCACACCCTTTATGTTTATTGTTAATGGAAATATAATCTATATATAGTAATATACACAGATGAGTTTTGACAAATACTATGTAGCCTACACTTTAAGATGTACATTTCTATCATTCCAGAAAATTCCCTATTTCCCTTGCCCATCAATTCAATTTTTTCCCTAAGGTAACCACTACTTTTATTCCTATCACTATATATTACTTATACCTTTTGTAGAACTATATAACATGGATTAATAAACTATACATTCTTTTGGGTCTAATGCTTCATGCTTTGAGCATCTATAGAAATCTCTCCTTAGTGTCTTTATCTGTAAATTGAGCCCTGCCCCACAAGACTGTGCTTAGGTATTTTGAAGGGCCACAGGTTTCCTGGTAGGGAGAGAGGAATTCAGAAATCACTCTGATTAGAAGAGGGCAAAGAGGAGGCTGAGGAGCAAAGCTGGAAACTACCCTTCTTGTGTTCAAACAGTATAGTAGTCCTTTTCCATTTGACAAAATGGAGTCTACTGTAAGACATTATTTGGCAAAGAAGAGAGTGTAAAAAAGTGCATATGTGTGTGTGTGTGTGCATGTACCATAGGATCTCAAAGATTCTTAGTGATCCCTTTCTGGGAACCTTCCATAAATCATCAATAGAGTTCTCTGCTGTGTGAACTCTGACTGGTCTTTCCTCAAGGGAGGGCTACGAGACAGAGGCAGCCAGACTGGGGACCCTGAGGGAGGGCCAGGCAACTGAGCACTGTAATATTAGTACTGGCTACAATCAGATAGCACCGGCCCAACTGAGGCGCCTAGACAATAGGCCAGAGGCCATGGATGAAGGGAAGCACAAAGACAGCATTCAAAAGACTGGACTCCTGCAGCCAGTGAGCATTTCTATAGACTCCACCGGACGCTGGCCTAGCCGGAATGTCACCTTACTGCCAGAAAGCCATTTTTTTCATGGTGAGTTTTAAACTGCTAAAAATAATAAACACACAGAAGAAAGTGCTGACACAATCTTAAATGCAGAGACAAACTGAAACTGTGTTGCTCTAATAATGAAAACAAACTAAGCTCCAAACTATGACCCAGTGTTCCAAACAGGCTGCTTGATGTTACCACACACCTCACGGTTAAAGGGGGAGCTCTGAAATTTATCAGTAAAGAAAGGGGATCTCACTGCACAGGTGTTCATCTCTATCTGACTTGCTTTACTTAATTCTTGCCCATTTCTTCTGCTTTTTCTTTTAGCATTCAAGGAAAAGATACATGGGAGAAGAGTGTTGGATCTTTATGGGGAACAAGTTTCCTGTATAAAGAGTGAAAGTGTGCTCTTTTTGATGACTCTCCACAAAGTTTTGTAAATTTATTTTTTCTGACTTTTTTAGTTCAATTAATGGTGTATACTACTCCTGAATGCCTACAGAGTTCAAAACCACATTGAATCACAAAAGCAACAATGCCACAAGTTGGAAGATAATTCCAATAATGCTAAAAAAACATCAATTAATAGCAAAAATCACAAATAAGTTGCTAATGACTTCACAAATTGCAAATAAGTCAAGCCTGATATCTGACCTTCTTACCCATTAAATCATGTGTGGAACTTGACACCCACGCAGATTGGCCAATGGGAGGGAAGCCGCAGATCTGCAAAAAAGGAAACACAAGAAGATACATATAAGTTAGGTTTTCTTTTTCTTTTTTAAAAGTTCCTCAACATTTGATTAACCTGCAACTGCTCTTATCTCTATGTTTAAATAGGGTCTGGTTTCAGAGCTGTCTCTGATTTTGAATACATGCAAATAGACTTTGATAAAATCTCATTCAGAAGAGGAGCCGGTCTCAGGGAAAGGGACTTTAACACAAGGGCTGTAATGACATTACAGGCGCGGAACAATTTTCATGGCTCCTAAAGTCTTACTTTTCTGAGGAGTTTCAGGAACAAGATCCAGGGGTGTTGGATGCCCAGCCTGGGAAGATGACTAAGAAGCAAATGTGAATCTCAAAAAACGGATTAGAATTTTCATGAGAGTGGGGAGGGGGGCAGAGAGAGAGAGAGAGAGAGAGAGAGAGAGAGCGCTAAAAAGAGCCTGGTTTCATGTCAGAGAATAATTCCTGGGACAGGTCTCAAAGTATGAAAGCTATGCCTATGCCAGGGGGGCAGCCCTGCTAGACAGCACCCGGGTTGGAGTGACAGAGTCATCAGCAGGTACATCAGGGTCAGCATTTGAGCATGAAGCTGTGGTGCCATCCACATGGTGCACAGTGCAGTCCCACCGGGAACAGCTGCCACAGATAGGAACTAGATGTGAAGAGTCCAAACAGACCATGGCGTCTGCTCGTGTGGCCAGAGATGTCGCTGAGGGTCTGCTTGGCAAATGAGAAGCTGCTTTTCCACAGTGCTCCCATTATTTTTGTGGTGGTTGTCGTGGGGAGCTCAGAAATCACAGAAAACCACAGGGCAGTACAACAGAGGCTGGGTTCCCACTGCCTAGATTGTACTGGCGTGTTACCATTCGTCTCGTATCTGTTCTATTCTTAAAATTAAAAATAAGGTGCAAGTATAATCTCTTTAGCACGACCCCAAGCCCATATCACAAATTTATCTTTCCAGGTTACTTTTTAAAAAATTCATACACGTATCTTTGTATCCAGGGCAGCAAACAGGGTTTGTGTGCTTTTAATTTAGCTATATGCTATGAAGCTCTGCATATGTATCTCTCCATCTACATTTTTTACTCAACATTATGCTTCAGAGTTCTAACCATGCTAATCTATAACATCTCATTCCCTTTAACTGCCACATTGAATAAATATATACTTCATTATTGTCTTTTCACCCAACACCCAACATTTATGGCACCATAAAAGCGCTTGTTATATCATTAAAGTGATTGCTGGGTATGTGTGGGAGCACATGCATGTGTGTATGTCCACATTTTTTTCTGCTCTTGAATCTGGGCTACTTGAAGATGCTAGATAGCCCTATTTCAATGATTTCAATGGTTCTTCTACACCATGACGACCACAGAATGCATACCCAACATGCATATTTGTTAAAGGTGATGCATGGTTATTAAAATTGACTTGCCTGCTATAAATTTTATTCCCTTTTTAAAGAACACTGAAGATGACTTTCAAGTTGTATTTATTTCCTCCACTGCTCTTATCTTAAGTCTTCCGATGTGAAGCCTTCAACTTCTTACTGCTAGAAGATCTGAAATTCTAATATGAGGCTGAAGACTAAAACATTTAGGGACACTGTATCCTAAAAACATTCTCAAATTAACAAAAAAGTCTGTTTTGCAACTGTTATTATGGCTTTATGGCAATATGAGTAAATATACACTACTACACTGCCATTAATATCTAAAATCACACAGTACCTTTTATTTAAACACAATATTGGGCTTCAATATATATTTTTTGAGATGATAATTCTCATCATGATGATACAGACTTTGAAGAACATACATACATTTAACTCCAGGGAAATGATATAAACATTTTCATGTAATTAACAATAATAAACATTTCCATACATAACATTTATTAGGCACACTTTATGGAATGGGTTATACTAATTATTTCAACAAGTTACGCAGAATTTAAACTTCAAAAGGCCATCTGAGGTAGGTATTATTAATAACCCCACTTTCCAGATGAGGAAGGAGAGACAGAAAAAGGTGAAACATTTCCCTCAAGTTCTAACAGTGAAGACGAGACTAGCCAGGAATCTCACCCAGGCAGTCTGATGTCACAGGCAGGCCTTGTTCTAAATGACTGAGGACAGGCTCAAGTTTTAAAGATAAAACTTCTGAGAAGAAACTGAAAAACAGTGTCACTAAGGTGGTTTCCAAATTTTGCAATAATAGAAACAAAGGACATTTTTTTCATGGTGTACCTCCAACTGAGAACAAACCAAATTAAAGACTTTCATGTAGACAAATTCAAAATGATTTCCCTGTGATGAGTAAGATTTAAAGAAGCAAGGTCATGCCTCAAACCCATCCATCTTAAACATACTCATTTTTTATTCTTCTTCCTTTTAGAAAACTAGGAACTGTGAATTCACTCATGGCTCAAAGGAGACTGCCTAGTTTTGTTGACACAGGATTCAAAGTAGAAATAAGAATTACTCCCTGGGACAACTTTAGCTCAGAATGCGTGTTTTTTATACATTTTTAATTGAGGCACAAATATATTAACAGTGAGGTTATTTTGTCGTTTCAAAAGAATTTGTAACTGATTCATATTTATATTTGGAATACATTTATTTCTAGGCATGAAACAGTTCATTTTATTAAGCCATTTGACCTGAGGTGAGGTTAGTACTGTTTCCCATGGCTGCTCCTGATTAATGCAAATTGAGGGTTAAAGAATAAATAAAGTTCCTTTAACTTGGTTTACTACTATGTTATTTATAAACGGTTCTTTTCTTGGTCAATTTTGGGGGGAGGGCAGTAACTTTGTACGAATAAAACTTCACAAGAGCAAACTAGCAAATATATAATGTGTATTTTATTGCCAAGTTTGAAAAGAATTAAATTTCACAAGGGTTGATACTATGGTAAAAATTAATCCTATTTTCTATCTATCTTTCATCTTGCCTCTTTTGCCTAAGATTGATTGGATTAGCAGTCTACATTCCTTGTTTGCTTTTAAAAGTCTTACTCAGTCTTTTTTATTTTATTTTTATTTTTTGTACCAGGGATCAAACTTGAGACGTTGTGCTTGTGAAGCAGGTGGTGGAACCTTGAGCTAAATCCCTGGTCCCTTGAATTTTGTTTTGACAGTTACATATTATCCCTTTATCATCAAGCCATAATGATACTTACTATAAGCTAATGAGGTCTTTTCTCCTGCAATTGCAAATAGGACTCCGGCGCATAACTTTGCATGAGCGCTAATACTCACGTACACAAGTTAATGTCAAATCTTAAGATATGCAATTGGGTATTTAACGAGAATGGACATTTTACATGTTGACTGATAGTTCCACATTAGATTCCCATTTCTAGTCTGTATCTGAAAATTTCATTTCCCCATATATTTGTTAATATAATAATTTATTAAACATCTTTACCTATCTGATGGCAGATAAATGGAATCTTAGTTTGAATTCATGTATATCTTGGGTGAGTGAAATTGAGAATCTTCTGATATGTTTAAAGGTCTTAAGAGTTTTTATTCTATGAATTTTCTTCCTTTTCTTTCCTTCCTTCCTTCTTTCCTTTCTCTCTTCCTAGCTTCCTCCCAATGGTTTGCTCATGTTTTTTTTTTATTTCCCCTACTACGTTGATAGATTTTTTTTTATTACTATGTGGATGCTTTATATCTTCTACACAAACAAATTCTTTCCTCTTTATTTTGTTTTTGAGAACTTGCCTAACATTTATTAGGCTCCAGGTGTAATCCCTACCACCACAAAAGAAAAAAAAAAAAGTTCTACAATTTTTCCCTAATTTTTCTTCTTTTTTTGAGACTTGTAAGGCATTTAATATGACAGGTCTACTCTCTTAAAAGACTTTTCGAACTAAATGACAGTATTGTTACTAATAGGTACAGAGCTCCATCTCCTCCTTATGTCACCTTTTATCATGAGCTTTGCAGCTCTACTCGTGAAATAGGTCCAGTCTATTTCCCTGTCCCCTTCGATCTTGTGTTTGGCCGTGTGGCTTTTCTGCCCAATGAAATGCTATCAGGTATGCTACGTACAGAAGTTTGAAAAAGTTTTCATTATGTTTACGTGTTTCTCTGATCCTCTGCGATCACCATAAGAACATGCCTGAGCTAGCCTGTCAAGGCTGAGAAGCACACAGCAGATCTGGCTTACATCAGTTGTCTCATCAGGTTAAGATGGGCAGAGCCACCTCTCTGACTTTAGCTGACCACAGATGCATGAGTGGGCCCAGCTGGAGCTGGAATAACCAGCCTGCCAACCAGTCTCGTGAACTAATAAATGCTAGTTTATTCAAACTTCTCCATTTTGGGGTAACTTGTTACTATTCTAGGGACCCCCAGGCAATGCTGTTAGCACTAGATAACTGATACAGGACTTAACCCTATGTTATTTAAAAGAGAGATGCCCTCATAGATGATGGTTTCAAAATAGGTAATAAGATATAGCAAATATCCACCAAATTCCAGCTGTATCAGAGAAGATTTACCCAGAATATAAGTACAAGTAGGTATAACCATTTAAACAAAGAAGTATAATGTAAGCAATCAGTTATACAGGTGAAGAAAAAGATGGTGCAATAAAAAAGGGGAGAATGAAGTATGCAGGAACTCAGAGCAATGGCAGGAAATCCCTAACTATTTAGATAAGAAGGAGGTGTTAATAATGGATTCCCATGGCCAGGGTCACCCAGCAGAAACTGAAAGCTCAGTGAGCCTGCCCCATAGGAGCTAAAGCCTAGCAGAGATGCAGCTGTTATCAGAGATGCTGTCGGAGGCACATAGAGTAAAGAGGAAATATCCCGGATTCCCCCTTCCTTTAATCTTCCTCCTCCCAGGGCCTTCCAATGCTGGAACCTACAGAGGCACAGACCTCTTGAGGCAGTACATTAGGAAGGTGGGAGAAGGCAAGGAAAAGATCTGAGGGCAAACAGGGAACATATCATGATGTGCAAGGTGCTACACAA